CGGTCTGGATTGCGGCTCTTAACTAAGCAGGTAGAATCCATAGTAGTATTTCTCCAGTGAGAATAACGGGGTTTGAGCGTTGTGCGAAAGAGATTAGTGCAAAATCTTTTCGCGATCATTCCATCTTTTCGGGAAGATGTGTGAGTCCTGTCTTCGTTTAGGAATGTTTTGAGCGGTACACAGTAGTCGAGAAGGTCCCTGGCTACGTCGTTAGACATCTCCTTCCTTGTGCTGCTTCCAAGAGTTTCGATCACCTGTACTTTCAACATCATTTTGCCAAGCTGTTCTGCAACTGGTATTAGCTACCAGTCGCTCGAGATGCAATCGGATCCCCAGCCTTAGGGCTCTTCTCCTCTCTAGTTTGCATGACAACTCCATCTTCATGAAACAAAGAACACTGGCGGTGGGCATGGAAGTCACCCAACGTTCGACTCATGCGGAGATCGACCACACTCTCATCAATCAAAGGCGGTGCTTACTGGACTCTCAATGATACCGTTTTTAAGCAGTGCTTCAGATCACCGCTTCCTTCGAGCCAAAGTGCGATTCAGCCAAAAGCTGGAAAAGAAGATTTGTCACTCTGCTGGATAAAGGAGAGAAGTCGTTCTTGACGGAGTCAGATTGTAGGAGCTCGCGATCCTTGTGATTGGCCCATCGAGAAGGACCCAAAAGGACTACGACCTGCTTTCCAGAGGACTGAGGGCCTGCGGTGACAGTGCCTCAATGCTTCAAACAAGAAACTTGGAACGAATTTCTAAAGCCACCAAGGATCCTTGAAGGAGGCGGTGATTTGAAGCACTGCTGAAGGACGGTACCACTGAAACGTCCAGTAAGCACCACCTTCGATTGAATGTGGTCGACCTCCGCATGCGTAGTAACGTTGGGTTGCTTCCATGCCCACCACCAGTGTTCTTTCTTTCGTGAAGATGAAGTTGCCATGAAAACGTTGTGCGGCGGATAAGAGCCCCACACGACCGTTATCATTTTATCCTTTTGGTCCGAAATATAGTGTCCTGTGCAACCTGACACTGGTCTTGATGACACCAGACGTCGGAAATGTAGTCCAGTGTGCAGGACTCTTTTCCTTTTATATGCTGTACAAGCAATAAAATTATCCCCCAAAATTGGCAGCCTTGCTAGGGCATGCCAAGCTTCATAACAAGCAATCGCTGACCTATGTGAAACAGAGAACCACCTGCGACTGAATCAGCCAGTCGGTGGCACTTCTGGCAGGGCCAACACTTAGCTGGGCGTCCGAGGGGCTGGGAACATCTAACACCTTCTTAGCTTAGGAAAGTGGGGATAAAGCTCCGCTGGCTTCCTAAATAAAGAAAGTGGACGTACATGTAATGCCTTTGAATGTCAAATTTCCTTTTGGATCCTATTCCTTCATTCCATACTCATCTTTATAAAACTTATGTGACAAATGTAAGCTGTTTTAAGAGAAAGGATAGAATGTATCGAAGCTCTGAGAATTATGTATGTCTTCTACATGCCACATATAATCGCAGTCTGGAAAACGGAAAAAAAGGCAAAAATATATTGAATGGTATTGATGAAATGTGCACTTACCCAAAGAAGATCTCCTATCTTGAGGAAAGACCCTGTCGGGGAGGCTTGTTAGAGGCACCGTGGTCGTAATGCTTGTGCCGAGTGGTATAGTGGTATGGTTCTCGC